TCCTCGTTCCAGGTTCCATGCATTCAAAAGACGAAAGGTCCAATCGGCCCAAGGAGGAGAATGATGCTGCTCTTATTAATATCGCAGAGGAGACGGTGGGGTGTTTGCTGTTAACCCTTTAGAGCCCTGTGTCTTTTCAGTTGTGTTAAATAACAAGTTCGACTGGAAGTGTCTGAGATGGAGCGTGACGATAAATGGCTGTAGAAACAAATGCATATTTTTCCCATGTGTGTGTTTGTGTTTGTGTGTGTGTGTGTTTTGCTTTCTTCTATCCCTCACAGTGATGGGGTTCTCAATTAAATTTCGTTTCGCGCTCTCTTCATCTTTTCCCAAAAAAGTAGAGATGCTGCTGCTTCTTCTCTCTTGGTTTCTTTCTCTCCCCTCTCTCTTGGATTCTTTTCTCTTTCACTCGTTCCCCTTCCCCTCCCCCTTTTCTTTTCCTGTTCCCATTTCAGGCTGCTCTAAATCTTGAACAACAGAGTCACAAAAGCCGAAGACAGCAAGCCCAAGAAGAAGGGAGATTCCATGCTTGCCGAGGCAGTATTTTCCAGAGAGCCGGGTCCTAAAAGAAAACAACAGAGGAGGAGAAGAGTGAGTTTCTTTCCATCATTGTTGTCACTGGAATCCTAAAGATTAAGTTAGGATTCTTGATACAGTGGTGCCCCGCATAGCGTTCTGGATAATCGTTGCTATCCGGAATCATCGCTATACAGAACAGAAAACCCCATAGGAACGCATTAAACCCTGTTTAATGTGTTCCTATGGGGGGGAAAACTCACTGTTTTCCCATTCAAAAATCGCAATGCAATCGCTTTTGCGATCGCAAAATCCACATCGCTATGCGGATTCGTCATTAACCAAAGCGCTCGTTCAGCGAGGCACCATTGTATTCCCTCTCAGCTATGGCACAGTATAAGCTTATTCATTGTATTTTAATATTCCTCCCCTTTCCTTGCTTTATTCTACAACAGTGCTTCCCAACCTTGGGTCCCCAGATGTTCTTCGACTAAAACTCCCAGAAGCCTTCACCACTTCGAGAGAGCTTTCCCAGATTTTGGTCCTAGGCTGAAAAAAGGTTTTCCTGACCTCTGATCTGTTCTGACTATCACTCAGTCTCCAGGGACCACAGCAGAGGCCTTTTCTTGCAGCTGGTATTTGATCCTTTCAAACTAGCACTGCCAGATTTTGCACCTGGGGCCGTCTGCATGCAAAGCATGTCCCCAGCCATTTAGCTACGGTGCTTCTGTTTCAGACCTACAGTCGATGGCTGAAAGCCAGGTGCGAGAAGCTGCTGGTGGAATATTTCCGCATTCATTGTTACTCAGGTGGTGTAATTCCATGATGAGGAACAGGGTTTTTTCCCCACCTAATACCCTATTTATATAATCGACAATCTAGTACAGTGGAACAAATCTGTTGCCCCAGATTATTTCTCTGTCAGGGCTGATGCCACCAATTCTCCAAAGCTACTCTTCATTATCTGCCAATACCCACCAAATACCTTCTGTTTGCATTTCATTGTGTTTCATTTCGGCACCTGGTAGCAGCTTCCAATACGCAACACGCAGGATTGTGCATCATTAAATGGTATTTGATAGGTTATGTGCGACGATATTCGTAACCTAACGGAGTTTAATAAATGACATGCAATGGCAAAGTACTGAACGGAAGGGATGCAGCGGTATATCGCATTTGATGGTTATCCATCTTTGAAGCCTTGCCCAAATTAAGACCACGGATGGATGCTAACAAATTTGAAGTACAGTGGTGCCTCGCTAGACAGTTACCCTGCATGACAGTTTTTCCGCTAGACATTGACTTTTTGCAATCGCTATAGCAATTTGCAAAACAGTGATTCCTATGGGGGAATTTTGCTGGACAATGTTTGGTCCCTGCTTCGCAAACCGATTTTCACTAGACAACGATTTTGACAGCTCCCTCCACACTCACAAAACGGGTGTTTTTGGGACCTAAGCTTCGCAAGACAGGGATTTAAACAGCTGATCGGCGGTTCACAAAGCGGCTTTCCTATGGCCGATCTTCGCTAGACAACGACGATTCTTCCCCATTGGAACGCATTAAACAGGTTTCAATGCATTCCAATGGGGAAATGCTTTTCGCTAGACAATGATTCCACTAAACAGCGATTTCAGTGGAACGGATTATCATCGTCTAGCGAGGCACCACTGTACTCATATTCTGAAGCAAAATTTCACATCCCTTTTATTTTCCTTTCCTTCCCTTCCCTTCCCTTTTTTTTTTGGAAGAATTCAGTATTCAACATAAGGGTAGCAAATTCTGAATATTTGTCCCAATGAAGTGTGTGCGCGCAAGCATGAGTGCACATCTGGGGGAGAACACTTCAGCACTGCAGTTTCATATACGCTAGTGACAAATCATATGCTAGGTCACTATTCGGCAAACCAAATTTACATCTCAGCCGTTTCAGATAACTTATTAGAGAGATATAGCTGCCTAGTCCACTGTACGACTACTTCATTATTTGTCTGATTGCTACACAAACCATGTACTGTTTCATTCCTGCCCGGATCCTCTGCCTCAATGTTTGTTCGTGCATTCATTCATATTCTATCCATCACCGTTGCAACCACTGTGGGTGGTTCCCAACAAGAAAACAAATGTAAAGAACAGAACCACTTCCCACCCAATGTACAAACATAAAAATATTAACGCAGAGCAACACTCCTAAGAACCCAAGATGGCAAAAAGTGGACAAGATATGAAACTGCAAAATATAATGACCAAAAATGAAAGAAAGTAGCAAACAGTTATAGAGGGAGGGTATCCTGAAATGCCTCTTGGAAAAACAATGTTCTTACGTGCTTTCTGAATATTAGGAAGGAACGGACCTGGTGAATCTCTACAGGTGAGGCATTCAACAGAGAGGTGGACACCACCGAGAAAGCCCAGTTCTTGTCATTGCCTTCCTGGCCGTCCTTCCGACACCATTTCACTCTTTGCCAGGATGATCTCATCATGGTGCAATTTTAGGGGATGTTATGAGTCTCAGAGGGGAAAGATTTTAGTCAGCTTCCCCTAAGACTCAGTAGGCATCCTTCAGTCTTGAGAGACTAGGGTAACGTGTTCTGAATAGAGGACTTGGAACAGTGTCTAGTGTGGCTGAGAAGACCAATTCAAAAGTGACCATCCCTTCCACATTAAGGACAAATCCAATCAGTCCCCTGTCCAGCTCCCTGATTTTGCTGCTTTCGGGACTGCCTCTTTGCCTCTTAGCCTGCTGGACAAGGGTCTCTTCATATTGGGAGAGGCCGTGCTGCATTGCCTCCCTCCAGGCTGAACGCTCAGAGGTCAAGGTTTCCCATCTGTTGAGGTCCATTCCTAAGGCCTTCAGATCCCGCTTGCAGATATCCTTGTATTGCAGCTGTGGTCTCCCTCTGGGGTGATTTCACTGCACTAATTCTCCATACAGGAGATCTTTTGGAATCCGATATCAAAGGGATCTGATGCTGAGCCATCAAAAACTATGGTGCCCTTCATTCCCTCATGAAAGGACCTGGTGATGTTAAGGAGTCAAGGCAGACATCCAATCTTGGGAAGTATTCCCTGCACTAATTCTCCATACAGGAGATCCTTTGGAATCCAACCATCAGCCATTCTCATGACATGCCCAAGCCAACATAGATGTCACTGTTTCAGTAATGTATATATGCTAAAAATTCCAGCTCATTCTAGGACTACTTTATTTGGGACTTTGTCCTGCCAGGTGATACCAAAAATGCATTGAATACAACACATATGGAAGATATTCAGCTTCCTCTCCTGCCATGCACAAAGGGTCCAGAACTCACTGCAGTACAGGAGTGTGCTCAGGACACAGGCTCTATAGATCTGGATCTTAGTATATTCTCATCACTCTAAACCATCACTGCAAGAGGCATGGGAGTTGCTATATCAGATGACTTTTAAGAGTCTTAGATCCAGATATAGATTGCAACTCTCATGCCTCTTGCAATGATGGTTTTGGGTGATGAGAGTTGTAGTCCAACCTATTTGGTGGGCAAAGCTGAAGCATGCTCATCAAAACCATGACTGGTCCTTGACTTCAAGACAGGCAGAAGGGTGCCTTCTCCTTTGCTGGTGTCCTGTGTTGAAGAATACCAGCTTAGATGGAGAGCTTGGGATCATGTTAAAAAAGAATTGTGGGCTCCAAGTCTCTGATGGTTGATGTGGGGCAGGCGTGAAGAGAGGAAAGGAAGAAACAATGAAACATACAACTCTGACGGTTGATGCGGGGCAGAAATGAAGGGAGGAAAGGAAGGGGGGAAAACTCACTGATAAGCCGTAAGCTAACATTGAAGGAGCCCAAGTTGTTGGAAGCCAGGCAGGTATAGTTTCCATAATGCCGATAAGTGACATTTGGGAAGAGCAGTATGGAGCGGGTACGTTCATTCTGGATCTGCAATCCATCCACTCCGTTGAATAATCTGCTAGGAAGAAAGCGTAATAGAAAAAAGACAGATCAGTGGGGCACAGCAGAGACCCCTCCAAGTCTATTGAGCATAATCCAAAATAGCAGCTTGCAACTTATTTGATACCCGACCAGACGCTGCCATTTTATTTTGACGAAACCCAGGTGTGGTATTCAATACTTGGACAATTCCTGCAGTAACTGGCCATATTTTGAACTATTGGTATTGTTTCTCCATCATCATAAAAATACACCTTGCTTTCTGGTAGCAGTCAATTCTGATATTGTACTTTGAAAATATTTAGGAAAACATGAAAGGTGACAACTTTGCTGCTTAGGATTGATAGAAGAATGGTCAAAATGATGCAACAAATCTGACAAAGCTACTCTCAGAGTGCTTCTGACTTATGGTGACTCAAAAACGCATTAAGTTGCTCTTAACAAAGTAACTTTTGAAAATATCTAGAAAAAGCTGCTAGTAACCACCAAGAAAGTAATGGGGTAACTTATTCATTAGGTCACTTTTAAACATTACATCCTTATTACCTCCAAAGTAACTAGTTACAAATAACAAGGATACAATTAATTACTTCCAACCCTGTCTGTTAAGCTCATAGCCATGTACCCTGTAGTAGGTAGATTGTAAAATTGGGCACACAAGCAGTTCTAGGACTGGTCATGTAAAGGACAGTCCACCAAGTGGGGGTCCACTACCTAACTGTTCTCCAGTGCACGGATTTCTAGAATAGTGTCACAGCCTTGTTCAAGACTGGTTATTACTGGATTAGGTCCATCCTACACCGAATTTAAGAGCTGTTAATATTCCCTTGATGCCAGTTTTTAATCTTTGCTTTATATATTCTTACAGAATTACTTCTGCATTCCCGAGGCTCTTACTATGTCCTTCCTGCCTCTTGATTCTTTACGGCCTTTCTTCTTTAGGCAAAAACAGTCCGAAGAAAATGGAAGGGACACAGTTAAGTCAAGAAATGGAAATGTTCTTCTTCTGCACTTCTGTGCCACCTCAGCTGAAATCTACGGTGCCTCGCAAGATGAACGCCTCGGCGGACGAAAAACCAGCAAGACAAAAGCGTTTTGCGATCATGTTGGTGACTCGCAAGATAGCTTCTTCTATGGCCGTGCTTTGCAAGATGATTTTTTTTCCCGCAAGATCGATGCCTCACAAGACGAAAATAATTCATTCGTCTTGCGAGGTTTCGAAATTGGACAATGCATTCCTATGGGAAACCGCTTTTCGCAAGACGAATATTTCGCAAGACGGTGCTACTCGCGGAACAAACTACTTTCATCTTGCGAGGCTACCACTGTATCAGGGTTTATGTTCCATCCATGGGTGTGGCCACAGCGACAAAGGGGAGTAGCCACAATCAAAGTGGGTGGGGCCAGAGACACAGTGGGTGGGGTTGGCCATGGATTGAAATGATCCTCACCTCTACATGTGTCGTTTGAGCCGTGGGTCTCCTACTCCAGTAGCCTGGGGCAATTTTCACAGTTCTGTGACTGTTCCATATTTGGATTCTGCTCTGTTTTCTGCCAGGCCTTAAAAGACTTGCTTGCTAGTGAGTGCTTGGAAAATTAGTCCAAAAATAGCTAGAGACCGATTTTGGTTCCATGTGCTTTCTGGCTTAACATGGAGGATTTTTACAACGTCCAGCTATTGTGCTATTGCCCAGTTATCAGGTTAAGCTTTTTTTCCCCCTTTGAAGTTACTGATGGGTTCTGACGGACACAGATATGCACAGACAAAACTACAGCTGATAATTAATTTTTTTCCTTTTTTTAAAATAAAGTTGCAAGAGTCTACCTGGATTCCTTCCTATGCTATGATTTTAACCATATGTGTAGATACCAAAGCATTTAAGAAATGTGTGAGGACAAGGAGTGTAGGAGGAAAGCATGGCGGGGGTGTGTGTAGACATCACAAAATGAAGACTGCAACAAAACCATGGATGTATTGCAAGGCTGAACCATGTGAGACAAAACAAAAAGAGAATGATGGCAGGTCTTGGCTGTTGCTCCAAAAAACTAACCTAAATATTATTTATTTTTCATTTATTTTATTTTAAATATTTTAACCCCACCTTTCTCCTTTAAAAGGACCTGAAGCAGCTTATATCATTAAAAGACAATGTTTAAAGCTAAAAAGTGAGTATACAAAAACTAAAAAGGATCAAACAAATACCATATTAAAGAACGGTACAAAAAAGCAACACCAAAACTACATTCAAAGCAAACAGGCACAGCCATCCATTAAAAAACGCCACTCAGGCAGCTGGTCACTCAGGGAAAGCTTGTCTGGAGAGAAAGCTCCTTGCCGGCTTATGTAAGGACAGCAAAGATAGGGCCAGTCTGGCCTGCTGTGGGAGGGAGTTCCAAAGTCAAAAGGCACCTGTGAAGGTGGTGGGGCTGATCTTGATGATCTTAACACCTGAGCAGGGTCATGATGGGAAACACAGTCCTTGAGATAGCTTGGACTAGAGATGGGGACAATTAAAAAAAAGGCAATTCATTTTGATCCATTATTCGTCAAGGTTAATGGATCAATGAACACAAATATTCTTCAATGAATCGATCCATCGATTCATCTGCACTTTAAATGGCTATAACATTGGTCCCCAACCACCAAGAGACACCAAAATTGTAGAGAAGCTTCCTCAGACGCTTTGCAACAAGTCCTGAAAGTTTGGTGAACTTTGGATCATGGACCCCCTGAGTTATATAATCACAAAGAGGACCCCCAAGGAAAGCTCCCCACAGGTACTTAGAGACTCCAGAATCACAACAGAGCTTCCTATGTCTTTACCCAACACATCTGCCAACCTTGGTGAAGATTGAATATCGGACATCTGAGTTATTCACCCACAAATTGGGTCCCCCCCAGGAAAGTTTACCACATGGCACAGAAGCCCATTCTGCCTACTGGCCACCGATCAGCTGATCAGAAGCCAATAGGCAGCTGCCACCATCACCACAGCCAGCCACCACCCCCACAGCCAGGCACCCCAACAGCCTACCCCCACAACCTATTCCTTTCCCTATCTTAACCCCCACACCACTCCCACTGACACCCCCTTACCTTAATAGCTGTTGCCGAGGTCTCCATCAGGCCTTCGCCGCCTGGGCGTGTAAAAAGGGAGAGTGGCTGCCCTTTACAAAGAGGACGGTTGTGGCTTCATTTAGGGTAGGGAAGCTGCAG